TGTTACATAATTTGTCCATCCTTTTACAGCATACAAACTTTTTAGAAGCGGCAAATCTTTTCTGTCTATTTCGGTCAATTTGTCGATCATTTTTGGATACAAAAGAAAAGCTCTGTGAATGATATATTTAAAAAATATATAGACTAAATCGAATTAACTGCTGGCACTTGTATTTATATTATTAATCTTTGCTCATTTTCTACTAATTCATTACGAGATTGCAATTTTATTGAGATTGTCGATAGATTAGATAAGAAGTATATACATTTTTTAGAGAACGAACGATTTGCGTCTTTTGAGAAACAACACGATTTGCGTCTTCTCATGAAAGAATGGAAAGAGATGAAACCAAACAGAATTCGAACCAAAATTTTCGAAAAATGCTCGAAAGCCGGAATTTTTTCCCTTTCGGAAATGCAAATTTGCATCTTTAGTTTTTTATTGTTTGCGATAATCATTTCATAATTTTAAAGTATACTCCTGCACTTTATTCCGAGCCCCAATATCTATATTTCATAATTTTGTATATATTATTGTGTCATCATTTAAATCATTCAACTATTGTTAAGGTTACACATATTGACATAAACTTCAGTTTATACGAAGTCTCAATTTTTTTTTTCGGATAAATTGTAGTATACTTTTTCCCGCTCAAATATCAAAGTGACATCAAGTCACTCCTAGGGGGTAGACACCTATGAATCCAGTGTGAATTATTTGATTTCTATGAAATCTTTGATTCTTGCGATTTCGGTGATTTCTCGATTCCAAACCTCAATATTGGACATAAAATATACTTATATACAAAGCTAATTTCACTGTGGTAGTGTGCGCCTATAGTAGAAGTCGCACACATAGTGTGTGTGCGGTACAAAATACACAACATTTGACAGAAATCAAAGAAATCACAAAAATTGAATTCTGCGGTTTCTGTGATTTTAATTATTTTTGTGATTTCTGTGAGTTTTGATTCCACGTGTCTACCCCCTAGAGTCACTCGCACAAATATTTGAGCGGAAAAATACGTACTAAAATTTATTCGAAAAAAATTGAGACCCCGAAATGACCTACAATTGCAAACCTAATGCAAAATGACCTACAATACTATTCAGATCCATCGGTTTTCGATCGTGACCGTTTCAACGAAATGAATCGAAAAACACATATACCTGGCACATATGCTCCATTTGGCATGGGTCCTCGTGACTGCATTGGCTGTTTGCAACCAATGACAGAAGTGAAATTAACTTTTTATTATCTCTTGCTAAATTTTATAATCGAACTACTAAACTAATTCTAGTATAATTTTTACTAACAAAAAAATCGATTTAAATTTTCCGGTGTGTTTCTGTAATATTATGTAATTTTTCAATAAAATTTTCCGTTGAATAACAGACTCTTAAAAAAATTAAATCTTAGCATGATTTTACGTTGAACTTATATCTTATCTATAAAAAATAGATCCATTGTGCCATATCATGGTTAGATTTAATTTTCGAATGTTATTTAAAATGTCAAGAACTGCCTGAATTTGGTTTCGATCGTATTTTGTCGTTAAAATTTTGCGATTTAATTAATTCAAAATAATTTTGAAAGAATTGGTCACGTTTGTATCGAAAAACACAGTGAAAACACAGCAATATACGTGAAAGATTATTTTTATTTTTTTTTATTCAAGGCGGTAGCTAGTAATTCTTTAAAAATAGGTTGTTCAACAATTTTATGTATTGTATTTTAGTCATCTTGAGCATTCAATGGTTTTGTATAAAGCCAAAAAATCATTTCTGATGCAGGTTTGAAACCAAGTTTACTAAACAATGCTCTGGATGCTTCATTTTTTTCAAAAATGCCAGCCATTTTTTTCAAAAAATGATACTAAAGTGTTATCCTCTAGAAAAGCACCAACATTTGGATTGTATTTTGCAACGCGCTCAAAAAACTCAATAGAGTTTTGCTTTCTGGCTGACCATAAACCGAACGCTTTTTTATAATCGGAAAATTTGTTTATCGGTTTTAAACGAATTTTTTTGGGCGGTCTAAAATGAGATAAATGTTTTACAGCGTTGAAAAGGATTATATACCAACGATACTTACTGTAAATCGAATTCTAATGCTTTTTCCTTCGGTAAAATGTAGAGCATAGTATAATCCTCATGGTGCACTTCAACATTTTTCAACTCTTTTAGAGCTGCACGAAGAGTCGTTGTGACACCGGGTAGGAATATCAAAACGTATTTTGTACTGAAATGTCACTTTTGCAAAAAGATTTTTACATCCTACCGCCATCTACTTTCGTATCGATTACTATTCTAATATCAAAACGAAATGAATCCACAAATATGTTTCTAGTGGTTAATTTAATGAATATTATGATTACCAATCTTTTAAAAAAATGTTTTATTCATAAAAAAATATTAATCGGCAATAAAAAGTGTGAATGCATCGTTTTAACAAGTCGAAATATCAAAAGCATTCACTCAACAAAGTTGTGTATTGTGAGAGCCAACTTCAGACAGATTGTATATATGTGACAACTATTTTTTGACATTTGTAAAACCGGCAATTAGGTATTTGTGTTTCAACTATAAACATTAAACATGCGAAAAGTAATTTTGCTTTTTTTATTTATTAACCCTCCTAAGTATAGTAACGGTCTATTAGACCGAAAACAAAAAAAAAATATCATAAAATTGAATAGCGTCGACCGATTGCCATCACATTTTCGCCTTTTTACAAGAATAATGGATAAATATTGAAATTAACATTTAAAATCCTGAAACTGTTCTGTAAAAAATAAAAATCCAGAAAGACGAAAATCCTAACTTAGACCGTCCGTACAAAATGTATGGGAAACACATAATCAAGCATTTTCACAAATCAAGTTGGTGAAAATTTATGATATCCGTTTAAAAAAAATGAAAAATTAAATTGGAAAACGAGAAGATAGGTTGAAATTCTCAAGTAAAATCAATTTGAATCATTCTTGTTTATCGCGTACATCATATTATTATTTCAACAAGATGTCTGTCAGAGAAAAATCGATCTTTAGTCTACAATAACACGAAAGGCGGTGTGGATGTTTTGGACAAACTAAGGATGAAATGAGCCATTCACACTCATGTCAACGTGGAACCAATCGATGGCCATTTGCATTCTTCATGAACCTCATCAACGTATGTGGTGTTGCAGCATTTGTTGTTTACAACACAAGTCACGATATCACGCATGAACAGTATGCATTTCAACGCAAGACATTTTTGATTGAATTGTATGAAGGTTTAGTTTACGATCATATCGTACGGCGAACAGCGCGCGGCATGAATGCATCTAATCAGTCGGCTTTCAAAGAAGTTCGTGAGCATTTGATGGGTCAAGAGGAACAAGAAGCGCCAGTTACAAAGAAAATGTTACACGATTGAAATAGACTTTGGAAAAATGGAAGAAAAAAAGCTGCAGGTAGAGAAAGGAGAAACCATTTCCATTTTATTTTTTTTTTGAAATTTATAAAGAAAATTCATTTCCTTTATGAAATATATGTAATATTCTTTCGTTTCACCTTTATGCGTTCATTTTTTATGTGGCTGCTTTCTGCTTTTCTTTCCCACCTCTCTCCCTTTTACTTAATGCACGCTTTGGATGCTGGTTTTGGCTTTACACGGGCATCCTCACGTCATCCGATCCCGGGTAAAAGAATGTGCGCGGTTTTTGCCATTTAGTAACCATGGCAAGTACGGTTTTTATTATGATGATTACTATTATTAATATTGGTGCCATGCTGATTGTTTTACCTATAAAGTTGTTGTTGTTGTTTGTGTGTGTGAGTTTTTTTCTTACTTCTGCATGCTTGTGATTCAGTTTGAATCAGTTTGAATGAACGCGGCTCGCACTTCGTTCTTTTGAACAAATGCATACGAGACTATTTAAATTGGCAAAGAAACCAGAGACTTGCCTTTTTCACCTTTTTTTTTTGTTTAACTCAAGATGCTTGGACACGAAGGCGAAGGCATAAAACAAGACAGTCCGCTATTTTTCGCATCAAAATGTGTACTCCACGAATGTAATGCGATTTATTTGCATTGCCGTTTGTTTTTATTTCATGTTCTCTTTTTAATAGTTCACGTTTCAAGATTCGTTGCTGCTGTGTACATGTTGTTATTGTTATTATGACTTTGGTTGCACGTTGATATACAGCCTGGAATAATGGAAAATGTAATGTACCTATTTTCTTTGAATGGACCGCATACTGTATAATGAATTTTGTATTATTATTATTGTAAAGCAGCGTTCGCTTTTGCATTTCAGCAATATTTTTATTTGAAATGTTTTTTTGCGGTTACATGCTGCGCAACGAAATGATAACAATCATTTCTTTAATCACAGAAATGGATGGAGAAAAATCCAAAGAAAACAAAAATATAATTCTCACCTTATGACGATAGTGTGGTTATTTTTCTTTATGATGTGTCGAATCAAGTTTTTTGGATGTGTTGCCGTTGAAACATCATAATTTGCGCATTGAATTGGTCATTGATAATAATTATTATTGACGTTGAAGTGTAACCAAGTCGGACATGTTATCAATGGAGCAAAAATCATAATA